CCACATCAGCAATATTGAAGATAGTGTGGCCCTGCACCACGTCAGCACAGGCTGGCTCCAATGCAGAAGGCGCCAGCGGGCAGCAGCAGTCTCGCGTCGCCGTCCACAGTGCCAGCGTACAGCCAGCGTCAAGGCAGCACAGCAAGACTGAATGTTGACTCCCTGGAGGCCAGGCCTCATGCAATGTTTGACGAGGCTGACCGGTCTCGGATCTTGCACCCACGGTGGCTCAGATTGACTCACAGCCGAGAGCCTGGATTGCGTACAGTTGCAGACTTCCACTTGGTCCTGATGCTTTCTTGAGACCTGCATACAAACAAGTGTGTGTGTCTGACCGGCAGCCTGGGCTGGGTGCATGCAGTGACTCTTGGGCCGCCGGGCAGTTGACCGGGGCCAACCGTCGGGCGCACAGGCCCCGAGCCTACTTGGGGTTTTCCTCCTCTTTGGCCTCTGTGGCCTCAGACCAGGGTCGCGGCCTGTGTGTAGCCCTGAGGCCACCTCAAGGCATATTGAGCGGTGTTAAAAAAATATATAATTATGTATTTTTGAACTACAAGAATTTCAAATGAACTCTGAAAAAAAGAAAATAAATAAATAAATAAGGAATAAAGTTTAATAAATGACTACTGAAGTAAATCGAGGGCGGCACGATCCTATGTATAATTGATTGGGCGGTAGCGTAGTACGTAGGGTTAAAAAAGAAAGGGGGGTTGCACGCGTAGATTGATCATAATGGTGATTGGTGATGGGGGGGGGGGGGGGGGGGGAGGGGGGGAGAAATCTCGCAGGGGGGTGGGAAGGTTAGCGTGACAATGGTGATGAAGAAGAGAATGGCAGCGAACAATGGGGGGGGTTGGGGGTTGTGCAGCGGAGGGAAAACAGGTCGTGCAGAGGAAGGGGGGACGTGTCGCGGTGGTGGGCGGGAGGAGTCAGGGGGAACGGGAGGATGGGCGGGAGCGGGGAGCGCAAGAGCGCGGAAGCAAGGGGGACGAAGGGGAGCGACGGGGGGGGGTAGGTGAAGATTGTGCGGGGGAACACGAGGGRGGTGGGAGATGGTGGTGCGCAGAGTAAGAAGTGCGCGAAGGGGGAACTGATGTGTGTGTGTGGGGGGGGGGGGAGAAGATAGCGCGGGGTCGGGGATTTGGAATTCGGAAGGGTCGAGGGATTGCACGGGGAGAGCACGCGAGGAGCACGAGGTTGTGGGAGGGAGGGAAATGGGATTGGGTAGGTGGTGGGAAGGAAAAAGAGCAAGAATAAGAAGAAAAAGAAGCGATGACGTCGACGAGGAAGACGAAAAAGAAGGAGAAGAAGAAACGAGGAAGAAGGGGCGGAAGAAAACTAGAGGGGAAAGAAAATTATTGGTCACTTATTTGAGCGTCGGCTTCGGGATCGGCGACAAGGCAGTGATGGGGATGAGATGCTGACATGGCAGCGGCGACGACGACGAGGCGGTAGCGACAGCAGGAACGCAGCGCTGACGTCGCAGCAGTGACGATGACTATGACGGCGGCAATGGCAATGTCGTGGCGGCGCAGGTAGACGATGACAATGGTGGCGATGTCAATGATGTGGCAGTGCCGGAACAGGGAGGGAGGGAGGGTCATTTGCCGCTCGATACCAGTGTGACGGTGCTGAGGTAGAGCAGCGAGGCTGGGGGAGAGAGGGAGAGTGAGAGTACACACACACTCGCTCAACTCGACGCAGACTCGACACGACTTGACGGACGCAGACACAACGTGGCAAAGTCGCAAAGTCGCAATCTTGGATTCCGAACACAATGTCGCAGCAAGTCACACTGAAGCACAAGCACTGAGGCTGAAAACTGAATGTCGAACTGAGCTTGAGTCCGGTCTTAAGTACCAGACTCAAGTTGAGTCCCGGGGGCAGAAGTGCAATTTGCCTCGTGGCTCAACTCAAAATCGAAGTTCTGAGCTTGGGCGCGAGAATGCCAGGTGGCGCCAAGTATCAAAATACGAAAATGCCGGAGGAGGAATTTGAGAACTGGCGCCAACCGCAGAGGGTGCCCACAGTCAGGGACCAGAGATCATAGACTAAAAAATAAAATAGCAGCCCGGCGGGTGGTAACCCGCCCACCAGGGATCAAGCCCTGGCTGAGTCCATAACACACACTCTGACTATCCTTACGATATACTGACACCGAGACCTCAGTCCGTAACGCATGCACGCGCACACACACACAAACACACACACACACACACGCACACACACACACACACAATCATTTTTATGCATTTGTTTTTCTTTCTTGTATTTTTCTGAGTACTTTTTGTGTCCCTAGCTGAGCACCCGTTAGCAGTGCCAAGCAGTTGGTCATTCCTCGCCTGGGGTGCCTACAGCATTCTTAGGGGGTGTGCTCCGACGGATGTTCGTCTGAGTGATTCCCTGGCTCAACGGATGGTCGGAACCAACAGCCTGTTGGGTTAACTCGTGATGTGAGTAGTTGATGTGCCACTTTTCTACGTGCTGGATGAGTAGACTGCCATGACTGCGCTCTGTCGCTGCCTTGCTGCTCGTCCCGCTCGCTTCACATGCCGTCCTCGTTGCTGTGCTGCCTTGCTGCCCATTCGCAGGCTGTGCCTTCCGTGTCTTTTGCTTGCGTGCCTTGTGGTTTGATTGCCTCGTTGTTGTTGCCTTGCGCTTCACTGCACGGTTGTCGAGCTGCTCGTCCACTTGCCCTGTCAGCCTTCCATGTCCTTCGCTTCCATGCCTTGTAGTTCAGTTGCCTTGTTGGTGTTGCCTTGCGCTTCACTGCATGGTTGCCAACTGCTCGTCCGCTTGCCTAATCGTTCCTTGCAGTGGCTGTCAGCAGTTGTGTTGCTCCCGCAGCGTCACCTGGTGCTTCGCAGAGTTGCTGCCCGGTTGTGTTGCTCTCGCAGCGTCACCTGGTGCTTCACAGAGTTGCTGCCCGCTGCTATGTTCCGCTTGGGGACAGTCTGCCTTCAGCGTGGATCAAAGGGTTCATGACCCTAACCATCAATACGGGCATTCTGCAGATTGTCGAGGGTTCAGCCTCCGACGAAACAATCTATCATCATCAGCTTTTATTTTTTTCGGTCTTTCTATTTGCTTGGGACTTGTATTTTTTTGTGTTGCCTGCCTCCCTTGTGTCCCCCAGCCTATGGTTCACCTCACCACTTTTGCCTTTGTCTTTTTGCTTGCTTTTGGTATGCCCTGTTGCTTTTCTTGTCTGCCTGGTTTTGGCTATTTTTCAAGGACTTGTTTCTTTGGTTTGCCTGATTGGTGTGTTTGCCTGTTTTCTCCCGCCTCCCCCATGCCCTGTAAGGCCTATATGCTTGGGACTTTGGAAAGCTGGTCACAGACAACCATGTTGACATGAGAAGTGCTAGAGTGGCAGCATACAGCTTCAGTCTGGGTACGGCAGGGCGGGATGCACCATGAATGATATGGGGTCTATGGCGTGTTATACCATGGGAGATGACTGGGGACACACACGCACACACACACACGCACCCTCATGCACGCACCCACACAAGCACCCACACAAGCACCCCACAAAAACACCCCCCCACAAACACACACAGGCACACACAACCTCATACACTCACCCACATCCACCTACCCACACCCACCCACCCACACACACACACTATCAATGGCACCCTACGTGTCACAAGACAAGGTTACCCGCTAACCACACACTTTACCACTGAGCACTTGCACTCTAATCAACGTCCGTCAACACATTTTGCAGCCCCATAAAAGCAGAACAGGGCAGATGTTTCTACCAAAGACATGCACAGTACATTTGTGTGTTTCACTGCCTCTGAAAGTCTGCGAAACTCTTCGGTGAGGGCTTGAGAGTCCCAGTTGCTGCACTGCAGTCGATTCCAGACTACTTCACCAGGCGCAAAACAATGCAGCGAAAACATATGCTAACAGACACTCGTCGTAGCAATCGAACAGAGCCATCCTTCTGGTTATCTGGGACTTGCACATCGATTCCACACATTACCACTCCCCCTAGTAGAGGCCACAGGCTGTGTTAAAAAAAAAAAAAAAAATCCACACATTTTGCACTGGTGAATATTGTTCAGGGGTTCAGGCGAAGTGAAATGCAACTGCCGTTCGGGCAAAAGTGAGAAGCAACTGCCATGTCAAGACTTGTCACATAGAGGCGTAGAAGTGGAGGGGAAAAAGGGGGGTGCGGGTGGACGAAAGAGGAAGAGGAACAATAAGAAAGAGGGTGACTCACAGTAGGAGGAAGACAAAGAGGAAGAGGGCGAGGAAGAAGAGGAGGGAAGAGGAGATTGTCCCACTCCACCCATACATCAGACGACAAAAAACAGAAGACTTGTCACATAGTGGTGTAGAAGAGCAGCGGAAAAAAAGGGAGGGAACGAGGGGAGGGAAAGGAAGAGGACGAATAAGAAAGTGGATGAGACACAGGAAGGAGAAGAGGAGGAAGAGGACGAGGAACAAGAGAAAGGAGATAGTATCCCGCTCCAACCACACATCTAGAGGACAAAAGCAGAAAAGGCAGAGAAGCGAACACAAATGGATCCCCGCCGAGGAGATATTATCCCACTCCACCCATACATCAGAGGACAAAAAACAGCAGACTTGTCACATAGTGGTGTAGAAGAGCAGTGGAAAGAAAGGGAGGGAACGCGGGGAGGGAAAGGAAGAGGACGAATAAGAAAGTCGGTGAGACATAGGAGGAGGAAGGAGAAGAGGAGGAAGAGGACGAGGAACAAGAGAAAGGAGATAGTATCCCGCTCCAACCACGCATCTAGAGGACAAAACCAGAAAACGCAGAGAAGCCAACACAAATGGATCCCCGCCCCGCAACCCCCCCCCCCCCCCCCCCCCCCCCCAAAAAAAAAAAAAAAAAGAAGTATAGAGACTAGGTAATTCGACAATTGATACTACCAAGGCCAGCAAATTGAGCTATTGCTGGAGGTGAAATAAGTTGGATCGGGGGTCGGTCTGTTCTTCGACCCAATAAGGTACTTGACACTTTACAAAAAGCGAAAAACAGAGCACACTTCAACAAGAGTGTTCTCCCAGACGCACATGGTTCAATCCGTCCGCAAGTCGAACGGTTCTGCGAGTCCCGTCTGAAGCACCCATACCCATCCATTTGCCCTCTGGACTGGACAGACTACAAGCCTTGAAGAACTGGAGTAGAAATACAAACATTGCACGACATGAGCAGCAAAATAAAAAGACGATGAAAATTAGAAACATGGGTAAAATCCCATAATCATACCTATCAGATTCTATCCCCTCTTGCACCATTGTATTCACCCCCCTCCGACCACCTACCCGTCCTCCACCGACCCAGGAATTAAGCTTCTCGTGCTGCTGCTACTGCAGGAGATTGCTCCTCAGATCGCCTACAGCAATCCGGCGCACAAACTTCTGTGCGGTGAAACAGACTTGGTGAGGGCTCAAGGCAAAACTGAGCCCAACTCACTCGACATCGCACTACCGTTGAACAAAGTATGGAGTACTATAATGTCGAAAACTCATATGAAGACTATCTTGAAAGGTATATATACACTCACATTCGGCGGTCACACTAGTTCTTGTGTGAATATGTTCTCCAAAGACAGCGCAAATACAGCTGGCTGGAAACCATTGATGCCATGTTAGGAGACCAACGACCGAAGACGTTCTCTTCCCTTCAGCAAGAGGTAGAATAGCCAGAATCCACAAAAAAAAAAAAAAAGAATAGCCAGAATCCAATCCCCAGCCCGTTACTAGAAGGGGAACGCACAAACCCCTCCTCTGCCGAATACTACTTAAGCTGCAATAGGGGGCAACACCCCCCTGAAAACCGGTCATTTGACAAAAACTGAATACAAGAGGGTCCCGATGGTAAGGTCCGCAGCTCCACACCTACCCTCGGGCACTCAGCCGACCACAGAAGAGAAAAATACATCAGCATGCAACTGGAGTCGAGAGGGTGATTTCCAAGCGCAGCCGCTCCATCGCTTCTCCTCGTGCAAGCTCCCCCGCATTTCTCCTCCCTGCTACCCTCCCTCCTCTGCCCCCCCGC